GATTTCATAAACCGTTCCATCCCTAATATATATAAGTTGTCGCAAGCAGGTTTTTCTTGTGTTTCTTGTGAATTTGGTCTTAAATTTTTATTTCAAGTGGCATTAAAAAGTCTTAAAAAGTCTTGAATTGAACTTGCCTTATGCTGTAGGAACCCTGAAACAAACTATTGGTTTTCTGTTAGCCGTGGCACACAGCGAGCTGGTTTATCAGGTATCAATATTCATCTAAACACAAAAAGAGATGGACTGCTGTAACTCTGAGATATGAAAGCACAGGGAGTGGATAGGTGGAAAAAAAAAACAGATTATCAAAAATAAATCTTTATAAACGTAAAATTTGATTAATGGATAAACTCGGCTTATTACCCTAGCCTTAGTTCAGCTCTACTCGCCCTGATGTTGTGTTTTTTGAGGAAAAACAACATTTAAAACTTGTCATAAATGAGGAGCTTCTTTCTGTTGCATTAAAACCGGAATCAAATGTTTGTGGATGTTGAAAGAAAAACCTGAAACTGTTTGTCTGAATATGCTCCGAATCCCTCAGTTCTTAAACTGTTTCCTGTTTCGTCATCTTTTTGTTTAAGGCTAGCTGACCAGATGCGTCTGATGACATTCCCTCAGTGGTTCGAGGTGCTGGAAAACATCTTTGAGAGTTTCCTTCTCTTCCTGCAGAGAATCAAGGTCAGAAAAACTTTTTTTCACAGTTTCTCTTGTTCATTTTTGTCAATGCACTAAAATGAAACAATATATTTCCTTTTTTTGTTTGCTAGGACACTTTAAACGTGATCAGGAATGTAGTTCTTCAAATTCTCTCTTCGAACCACAAAAATCGACTCCTTGCAGAAAGTAGTTTGGTGTCGGCGGGCCCAGAAGCCTCCCAGGGTCCGCTGGGCTCGCAGGGGGAAGCTGAGCTGGCTTATCTCACCCATGAAGGTTTGTTCATCAGTGACGCGTTAAGTGAAGCCCAGCAGCAGGAGTCAGCGACTGCGGGTCAGGATCAGCGCTCCGCAGCGGGCTCCAGGTTCCAGCAGAACCGGACTGAAGCTGCGGCAGAGAGCGACTCTTCCATGGGATTTACAGAGACGTCTGCCGGCAGAGAACACAGCTTCATGTATGTTTCTGTTTATTTAGGCAGAAGCGTTTCTTTAGACGCACAGACAGAAGTTACCTTTAAGCTACTGGTAACAGAACTATGATCAGAGGAAAGAAAAGAGTGAATGTTGACTGTCTGTCCAGATCTGGAGACAACTTGATGCCCACTGAGGCGGAGCTGAACCGCCTGATCAGTGGCCTCCAGGAGCTGCTGCACATGGCCTCCGACGTCAGCCACGACCGCTGCGTTAAAGTCCTCACTGCCAGAGCCAAGGTACGCCGCGTCCAGACGATGTATTCCATTATCATTGGAAGGAAGAGGATTTCATCGTTTCATGACGGCTTTGCTCATGTTTCCCTTAAACAGGACGGCTCCCTGGAGCGCCTGAGCTCGGCAGAGTTTGTGTCTCTGTCTCGGGCGGTGGAGCGCTTCGTCAGGGATACAGAGGAGCTGTGTGGCAGGCGAAGCGTCTCCCTGAGGGGGGCGCTGCAGAGCCAGGCTAACCGGTTTGTCAACCGTTTTCATGAAGAGAGAAAGACCAAACTAAGGTACTCTTGCTGCGGTGCTGATGTAACCTCTTTTCTGAAATGAACCAGCCTGAAACCAGCGATGCTGGATTTATGAAATGGTTTTTCATTTTTGTATTTTAACTTTATTTCGGATTAGGTTTTTATATTAAATCTGTCAGGTGAGTTTACCATGACTAAACCTGATTTATTTATGGGTTTGTTGCCCTCAAGGCCAACTCTGCAAGCTCCAGTGCAATTAATAACCAAGTGATAGGTGGACCTGTGATGGAAGGAAAAATAGGAAGCAGCTCCCGACTTCATGACCAGCCTGCACACTGTGTTCTTAAATTAAAACAACATGGTTTAACTCGTGATTCAGAGATTTAATTCAGTATTTCCCCACTGTGGATGGGTTTCACTTTGCCACTGTGTGTCTCCTCCTGTCCAACTGGTGACATTGATCGGACTAACATAGACCAGGGGTCCACAGTTGGAGCTTTTCAACCACAGTTACAGAGGATTATGTTCAGTCTGACCAGTTTCACACATTTTCAATGAGCTTTAAGTACGATCTCATCGTTCAATTTGATTTTCAGTCACATTGGAGGCTAAGTTGTGTCCAGTGTGTTCAGGCCTTAACATGTGAGCTACGTTCAGGGTCTGGATAAGTTGTGGAAAATATTTCTAACCTTAAATCAGTTTCTAAAATTAGTCCCTTCCTTCCTTCCTTCCTTCCTTCCTTCCTTCCTTCCTTCCTTCCTTGGTTTGTTCGTTCGTTCCTTCCTTCCTTGGTTTGTTCGTTCGTTCCTTCCTTCCTTGGTTTGTTCGTTCGTTCCTTCCTTCCTTGGTTCGTTCCTTTGTTCCATCCTTCTTTTTTTCCTTCCTTTGTTCATTCCTTCCTTTGGTCCTTCCTTCCTTCCTTGGTTCGTTCCTTGGTTCCTTTCTTTGTACATTTGTTCCTTTGTTCCTTTCTTTGTTCATTTGTCCTTTCCTTTGTTTGTTCATTCCTTCCTTTGGTCCTTCCTTCCTTCCATCCTTGGTTCATTCTGTTGTTCCTTTCTTTGTTCCTTTGTTTGTTCGTTTCTTCCTTTGTTTATTTATTGCTTTTTTGTTTGTTTGTTTCTTTCTTCGTTTGTTCCTTCCATCTTTTGTTCCTTCCTTCCTTCCTTCCTTCCTTCCTTCCTTGGTTCATTCGTTCTTTCCTTTGTTCATTCCTTCCTTCCAACCCTCCTTCCTTGGTTCGTTCCTTTGTTCCATCCTTCTTTTTTTCCTTCCTTCCTTCCTTCCTTGGTTAATTTGTTCCTTCCTTCCTTGGTTCATTCGTTCTTTCCTTTGTTCATTCCTTCCTTCCTTGGTTTGTTCCTTTCTTTGTTCATTCCTTCCTTCCAACCCTCCTTCCTTCTTTCGTTCGTTTGTTCCCTCCTTCCTTTGTTCGTCCCTCCCTCCCAGTTTTATCCAGATTAATTCCCTTTTAATTTCTAGCATAGTTTTATATTACATCTAGAGAAGTGAGATGAATAGGTTTGGCATCTCATGTCTATTGCACTGCTGTTCTCTTCCAGTGCTGAATTTCTTTCTGTTTGCTGCTTCTGAATGTTTTCCTGATGGCTTGTGGTTAATGTCTTTGTTATGCAGCCTCCTCCTAGACAACGAGCGCTGGAAGCAGGCTGAGGTTCCAGCAGAGTTCCAGGATCTGGTTAACTCCATCGCCGACGGCAGGATATCCCTACCTGAGCGCAAAATGTCAGGTCGGTTTAGCTGGTTGCAGTCATTTACAGTCTGCTCCATCCAGGCACACGTTAAGCCATTCTCTCTGTAACATTTCCTCTGCCTCCAAACACTGAAACTATAAACCGAGGAACCAGCTTATACAGATAAACTCCAAGGCTAAGAGCTCTTTACTCCACAGGCCAAGAGGAAAAAAAACCTGCAGAGTTTCTTCTCGTTAACGGACAGAAATATGCTGTCGTTGGGTAAGGGTTAGTAAACACCATGGAGACTTTAATACGCTCTGGTTTGTTTCCAACTGACACTTCTTTTCCTTTTTTTTTTCAGAACTGTTCTGCTGCTGATCCGGATCTTTCTGGAATACTGTCAGTGTGTGACCGACATCCCGTCCATCACCACAGACATGTTAACTCGTCTGTCTGACCTGCTCAAGGTAATGAGCACCGAACCCTGCGGGTGGAAGCGGGGAATGTTCCTGAACTCGTGGCGTTCAAGCATGTTTGTACAGATGGTTCAAACGTTTCTGAACCAAATAAAGAGATCAGAAATACAGCCGCACAAAATATATCAGAAATATAATCAAAGCATTAACAAGGTGTGGAGGAACGTAGGGTACTGAAACTAAAATTTCAAACTCTTATCGATACCATGGACCTTTTTAGATTATTTGACCATTTTTTGAAACCATGGGGAGAAAAAATGACGAATATTTAAAGGCATCTCCCCTTTTTTTTTATGTTTTCTCATTCAGAGATGCTGTAGCTACCAGATCTGCTCAGGTCTTGCTTCATGGCAGTGATGTTACGCCACATGATTGGCTGAACGTTGCCACACGATATAAAACATTGTGGTTGCCCAGACAACGATAATAACATCACGCAGCGTCCGTTTATACAAAAAAAATGTTTATTGTGAACCATGTAACTGCATGACAATAAAACAAAGGGGGAGAGCTGTGGCTTGCTTGTTCTGTGGCTAACAGGTTAGCCTCTTTTAGCTCGGCAAGTTAGCCATATTAAGCTACACTAATTTAAACTTTGTGTCAACAACAACCGTTCATTTTCTACAAGTAGAATAAACGTTTTCTTCCTCTTAAATCTCCATGAAAGTCATTTTTAAGTTGTCCCACTTTTCCTCCGCTGCCCTAAGATCTTAATAAAAATAAAAATAAGCTGAGAGTTTTTTTTGTCACCTTGTTAAACGGCAGAGCTCAGTCTTAGAACGCAGTACTTTCCTTCAAGACTGACTATGATTGTTTTCTATTTTTGGCTACTTTAGATGGCCAATGAAATGTAAAATAGTAGCAAATATAAGTAAAAATATGTTAAGACTCCAAAAGGGATCTGATCTTTAAGACGGTGCAATAAAGTTTGTCTGAGTGGAGTTTCCATATGATGACGTCATAAGAAAAGGGCAGCGGTTAAGTAAGTGTTCAAATGAATGCAAAATAAAAAAATATATATAAATAAAAGAAAAACTGTGTTTTTCTTTCAATGTGCAAATAATTCAGAAATCTAAAATAAACGGTAGCAAAAATCTGCAAACAACACTTAATTATCAGTAGAAGGCCAAATCAGTCTTGTATTTAGATAGTTTCTGAGTTAGGAAACTTTATAGAGTGTAGATATGTTTGACAACCCCAGAGGAAAGTTGTTTTTTGTTTTTCTTCTTTTTCTAGTGTTCATATTTAACAGAGCGTGACGATTTTTGGTAGATCAGTGACTGATTTGAATGTCTTGTTTCAGCACTTTAACTCCCGCAGCTGCCAGCTGGTTCTAGGAGCAGGAGCTCTGCAGGTCGTCGGCCTCAAAACCATCACTACCAAAAACCTGGGTGAATATTAACACTGCAGTTTTCCCTTTTCTCCTCCTGAAGCTGTTCTATCCGATTTTGACTAAAGGAGTTTTCTTTCTTTATGTGCTTTTAGCATTAGCATCCCGCTGTCTACAGCTGGTGGTTCACTACATTCCCATCATCAGAGCTCATTTTGAGACCAAACTGCAGCCCAAACAGTTCAGTGTCCTCAGACACTTTGACCACATCACTAAGGTAACAAAACATCTGAGATGAGGGGAAAAAAACACTTTATATTTAGACCAAATCTTTGCTGTTCTAATGATCCAAAGATCTCTGGAAGAACAACATCTGAGGAGGTTTGTTGTTTTGCAGGACTACAACGATCACATAGCGGAAATCTCTGCAAAGCTGGTGGCCATCATGGACAGTCTGTTTGAGAAGTTTTTATCAAAGGTAACAGCATCGATTGTTGTTTTGTTTTTTACAGAAATCTGATACATAAGATGCTGCTCATTTAACCCCGGCTCTTCGTCGCTCTGGTCCTGGACACTGTTATTGAGCTTATTCTAACATTGGGGACATTTTCTAACTGCTTTATTTATGAATGATTTTATATATAGATGCTCTTGGAGTTGTTGGTGAACACTCTAGTGTGAATGTCCAGTGAGGTTTTAAAAGGAAGTCGGTGTTAGAGTGCTCTATAAACGACATAATTTCCGTCAGAGATCAGATGACATAACGGCTTTCACAGTGGGGAAGTACGCTTCAGCAGAAAAACAGGAAGCTAAACTAATTACCTGCAGCTGAGTTCCACTATACGACTTCTCCTGTGAGATATGGTTTGTCTGGAACAACATCAATAAAGAACTTTTATGATGAGGTAATTAATAAGTAGTGTCTTATATGCTGGTGATAGTCAATATTCATTCCAAAATAGTTAAAAAAAACAATCCACTGGACTTTGTTTTCAGGTTTGAAAACATTTCGCTTCTCATCCAGGAAGCTTTTTAAATTAAAAATGTCAGAAATAGCGTTGAGTTGCTTTATGCAGTAGTCCAACAAAACATTGTTTTTTCTTAGAAAACATGCAAATTAAAACGGACGAATGGGTCCGTTTGGCTTCTTTTGCTAGCCTGCAATGCTGCAT